GGTGAGGGCTTTAATTTTACATTAGATGAACTAAGGCCAGCAAATTCGAGTTGACCGTTTGGCGAAAGTAGGTCGTAATACAATGATTTTTTTAGTGAAGGTACTGTTTAGGAAGCCTTTTGCCATTGGAAATTGAAGGAAAACAGGCAGACTTAATGCGAACTCTAGGGTTGTCAGACATCCAGGATATAAAACTTTCTAGTTAAATATAACAGAAAAAACTTTTGTTTTTAAGTGTTATACTATCAATGAACGCCAATATAAGCGGTACACCTTTGTAACTAATCCCCTTCCAGAACTGGAAAAACTGACCTTATGTTAGGGAAAATGAGGTGAGAGATAGATGTAGCGAAGTGTAGTGTCTTCCTAAGCAGAAACAAGGACTCGTCTTCTTCTTTGGGGGTTTTAATAAGGTGACGTTTTTCAGTCTCCGCAGACAGTGTTAAGCACAAGCATATGCTCCGCATGCGAGGACCGAAAACCTTCGCTTTAAGTTGCCTTCTTTCGCAGGAAATAAGGGAATGTTCCTATCTTGTCAGAGCTCTGACTTCCTGTTCGACAGCAGTTCATGTGTTTTCGTCCTATTGGTCCAATGCTAACGCAGTCTCGAATAAGAAAATATCCACTACATCGTTGATGAACAATTTTGTATGCACCATTTTATGAAACTATTGTGAAAATCAATCGTCACTGCTAATGAATTGCATACTGTGAATCTGTATTGTACATATATGCGTCAGTCTAGCGATGAACTGAAGTATAAAGGCCTGCAGGTATGCAAAATCATTTATCAGAATCTTACGACCCAGTCATCAAACGCATATGCCCTGAGGATTTGAGCTACAGCGCAAATAGGTTTAGACAAGGGGGACAGCCAATTAAAATGGCGTGAATGTTAGTTTGGCCCCTTGGCACTGTCCTTTATGAGACTAGTGCATTCTGCTAAAGGAAACAGAAGTCGTCCTTGTTTTAAACTTAAGCTGCAATACTGCAGTCTTGGCAGACCTTCTGTCTGAAGCATTCAAACACGAATGAACCGATATTTGCAATGAAAATAAGCAGATGCCGACATGGACGCTTTGAAACAATGCCTCTGGTGTAGGTTTTTCAACAATATAAACAGTGCTCAGTGTACGTGGTCCGCTTTGAAAACAGTTTTCATATATGGACAATCCCTGCTGGGATAGATGTTTCGGGCATATTCGACATCATCAGCCAGTCATGTGTAATCGCAAGACCAGTTACAGGTGTCCATAAAACAGGCATGTGTATTAAGGACTCGCATGCTGTGGATTGCGCCTAGAAATCTGCCGAGTGAGTAGATGTTATCGGTCCAGACTTCTGATAAGGAAATCTTGTGGAAATACATTATATGGCCTGCATTCTCACACGAACTGATATCTCATGCTTGAGGATTAAAAAAGATACATAGGACCCGGTAACCCACCTATACCATTTTACTGTATCTAAGCGGTGCAGACGTTAATCCTCATCCCGTATAGGGCAAAGCACAACAAAGCATCAGTTATCGTGTTGACCAAATAAGAGACCCTAGTATAAAAGCATGCACCCACACTGCCTATCAACTTCGAAACATTATCTTTCATCGTATTATTTGAGTTATCATTACAGCCCCCTCTGAGGCACGCCCATAAAAACTACCTACGCATGACACCTCACTTCCAGCTTGTGAGTACGTTTGATTAGTCATTACTGCACCACCGCATCATATGAATTCAAGGTTAATTGCATTCGCAGAGCTCGCAACACAGGTAATTAATTTGCAAGCTTTCGCATAGTTGTTGCACAGCTCGTTAGCGGGTGTCAAACTCCCACGCCAAATGGTGGCTACTCATAATTTAGGAGTGCACTTGAACTCTCGTACTCGGCAACTCAGCAGAGAGGAACGCCAGAATGCTAATTCCTCAGGCAGTACCAGTTTACAGTGGTCTCGGGAGACGAGCAGCTCCATCTAGATACGATCAGTTCAGGTGACGAGCGAGCTACTATCAGGACATGTTCTTCGATTGTCGAGTTCCCGCTCAGTTAACGGGTTGTCAGTACGGGTGTCTGTGCCTGTGTCCACCGTTGAGTCTTGCTCGGTTGTCTGCAGCCAATCAGTGAAGTGACGCAGTTTGACTAGCTACGTTTCGCAGGACGAGCGTGTCAGATAACGACCTCGGTGCCGGAACAGATTAAACTCGTTAACCGAGGTTCCACTCTATCGGGCTATTTGAAGATGTGTGCCTACCTCTGTCAGCTCCGGCGACATAATCACGTAATATAAATTAAAATGCCAATGGGCGGCCATTAGCATATAAGAATACAAAGTTAGTGAGCAAATACTGATGGAATTAAAAAGTAGAAGTTTCGAAACTGCAATCTCTACCGGAATGCACGCAGAGAACCCTGGGGCGACCCACTGATAAGCCGAACGCCTTGCAGCTCTGCCAAGCAGCTGCGGAGTAACGGCAAAACACATGACTGGGCATTATGTTAGTAACTGTATTGCTAATATGGTGTCACCTTTACTTCTTTTAAATACAGTGGAGCCTTCGGTGATGAGCAGCGCCATCTATGAGCATTTCGGGTAACGAGCGAGCCACTAACAGAGCAGTTGTTTCGCATCACGAGCTTCTGCTCATTTAACGTGTTGTCACAGCATGTGTGTGTGTGCCTGTGTCCGTCGTTGAGTCCTGCTCCCAGGAGGTGGGGCCCCGGTCGTCTGCGGCCAATC